CAGCCACTGCACTCCAGTCTGGGTGACAGAGTGAGACTCCAACTCAAAAAAAAAACCAAAAAAAAAAGAAAGGGTACATTTCATGTTATGTATATTTTACCACAGTTAAAAACAAACAAATCACCAGGCTCGGTGGCTCAGCCTGTAATCCCGTGCCTTTGGGAGGCTGAGGTGAGTGGATTGCCTGAGCCCACGGGTTCGAGACCTGCCTAGGCAGCGAGACCTCACCTCTACAATAAATAAAAAAAAATTAGCCGGGCGTGGTAGCGCGCGCCTATAATTCCGGCTACTCGGAAGGCTGAGGCAGAAGGATCGGTGGAGCCCGGGAGGCTGCGGTGGCTGGAAGCGGCCACTGCACTCCAGTCTGGGCGACCAAGTGATTTTATTGCAGAGCTAATTTTATTGCAGAGACGAGGAGGTCTGTCAAGTTGCCCAGGCTGATGTCGAACCCATGGGCTCAGGCAATCCTCTTACTTCGGCCTCCCAAAGTGCTAGAATAATTGGTGTGAGCCGCCATGCCCAGCTTCCGCCATGTTTCTAATACAATGGCAGGTGACAAGGGTTTGTTGAATGAATGACTGAGGCTGAAGCTTACCAACCACTCATCACCTCCATCCCACCCCTCCCAGAGGCTGAAATGATGACAGTCAAGTAAGGCCAGCTCCTGCCCGCAGGGCAGTCCTGCCTCCTCCCTCTCAGCCTCCTGTGGGTGTGTCCCCACAGCCCAACATCTGCCCACCACAGTCCCAATCGCCCGGCCTCCTTCCACTTCCCGAACCATGCTCCGTCCTGAATGACCTCAGCTGTCTCCAAAATACGCAATTCAACTCAAAGCACGAAGATGAACTCCACTGTGACTTTTGGGGGCCCAGCCACAGGACCTACGGCCCGTTCCCAGCCTCTGGAGATTCCGGCTCCCAGAACAAGGGGACTGCTCCGGAGGAGACGCCCACACCAGGGCCAGGTGCTCAGAGCCAGGCTCAGCCACGCACGCAGCAGCACCCGTGTGGCGGGGACCAGGCCTCCACCCCCTCGGTGCCGAAACCCCCAGGCCTCACAGGGGAGGGGCCAGGAGCCTCAGCAGGGGCTGGGTAAAGGCAGAGAGCACAAGCTTCCCTGAGGTGGTCTCTTCCCACAACCAGAGGCGAGGCCTCCCGCGAGGAGGCGGCAGGCTGGACAGCCACAGCACCCCATGCCCATGCAGGTCCCCAGAACACCCAGCACCACCCCAAGGCACTGAGCTCCCCGAGCCTGGGACACAGGAGCACCCTCCCATCCCGGCAGGAGGCGGGGCCTGGGCACGGAACTCACAAAGATGGACTGCTCCTTCAACCGCCTCTTGGCCTCCTCGGCTTCTAAAGACTGCTGTTTCCTCCTGGAACGATAAGCCGGACACCCTTCAGGGCGGGCCCCGGGGGCCTGGAGCCCGCAGGGCGCGTGGGCTCACCTGTGCTCCTCGATCTGCTGCTCGCGCTCCCGGTAGCGCCGCTCGCGCTCCTCCTGCTCCTGCCGCTCCTGCTCCATGCGCTCCTGCTCAAACCGGAGCCGCTCGTCCAGGGCCTTCTTCCGCTCCGCCTCCTTCCTCAGCTCCTCCTCCTTCTGCAAGCCCCCCAAGAAGGGCGGGCCCTGAGCCTGGGGCCGGCCACTGCCCTCCGGCACCCCACCCAGGGCTGGGAAGGTAGCGCCCCCGGGGGCTCTCCTGCAGGGGATGGGCAGGGCTGCTGCCGGTCCGCCCACAGGGTCCAGGAGGGGCTGCTCGGCCACTCAGGCTGAGCCCGCGCAGCCGCAGGGGCCACACCTTGGCCTGCTCCCAGAACTGCTCGCGGTTGATCCGCTTCATCTCCACGGCCGCATCCGTCTTCTGGTAGGTGGTGCCCTGCAGAGCAAGCGCGCAGGCTGAATGCTGCCGACCCCCCAGGGCAGAGGGTGAGGCTCGGAGGGACTGGGCAGGGCAGACTTGGGTGCTGGGCCTGCAGGCAGAGCCGGGCGGGGCCGGTCACCCCAGGCCCACACTGACCACGGGCTCGGCGTTCTCATCCTCTCGCGGGCGGAGCCGGTGCAGCACAGGGCTGGAGAGCCGCGCCAGCCCGTTGGAGAGCCGTTGGCCTATGGCGCCCGCGTCGATGTCCTCCACGCTGCTGGCGTTCACGACCACGTCAACGCCCTTCAGCGGGCAAAAGGGCAGGTCAGGTGGCACTGCGCTCCCCCCACCGCCCCCCCACAGACCCTGGGGTCTGCCCCGCCCCGTGCGCCCTGCCCCCTCCAT